GGTCTGTAATGAGGGAGGCCGGCTTCCAGGCTTTTTATTTACACACTTTGCGAAACGCAAAGAATTTGATGAAGATAGAGACTAGTTATTTTCAGGATGGGAATAAAAACACCTCAATTTTTGCTAATAGGCAACAAATGTTCGAAAAAGTTATATAGGGTGTTGCAAAGTTCTCAGTCTTGAAAATGAGAAAGCTTAGTCTATCACAAGGAAACCTTTTTGACCAATGCATGGATGGAAACAACACTAATTATTCTGGTGAATTGTTACATTATTTGCCTCGTTTAGGTAAAATATTCCCTGAACATTTTTTTTGATTTACAGAACCACAACAACCCTAGCTCTTTGTTCACAGAAGGCTTTGGATTTCGTCAGTAAAGCTGGGCTGAATGCAAAGCCGCATTTCTGTGTTCAAGGGGCTGCTCAAAAATTTCGTTTATTTAGTAGAATTTTATCTTGTTAATTATCCGGATGGCGCCCATCAACAAAGTAACAGATTATAAAAAAGCATTTAGACATAACCAGTCGGGTTGAACTAATTATTTCTTTATTCTAACTCATTCTACTTTTCTACTGGGTGTATTCATTATTACATTCTATCAGTAAATAAGTCATTTTCTAGCATAGAGTAAGTTTTCCACCATTAGTGTACTTCTAAATTTATATTGCACTAAATAAAAGTGTTTGTCCTATTACCCTCTTATAGGGATCTATGAGTCTTAATTCTAATTCGGTGCATTACTTGCAGTTCATTTTGTTGTGCGTACAAAAATAGAACTAAGGAACCCCTATATTATTATCTCTCGGAACATTCGCTTCTGATTTTATATTATAAATTATATTACTTTCACCGATTATTTTCGTAACTTTGATATCGATCTGTTGGCAATTTCTGAGACGTGGTTAGGAAAACATATTCCTGATAGTTCAGTCTTATTTTCAGATACCTACAACATTGTTCGAAATGATAGGAATTCGAGAGGGGGAGGAGTTTTTGGTAGTTTATCGGTCACCTTCACTTCACAACTACTCGGGATTTGTAAACGATTTTGAACTTCTGTACTCGGATTTGCTATTGATTTCTGATAAAATTGTTTGTGGAGGAGATTTTAACTTTGATCTGATGAATTTAAGTAAACCTGGAGTGCAACAATATGTTGATATGCTATATAGTTTTGGTATCACCCAAGTTATCAATATGCCAACGAGGATTTCTAGTTCAAGTAGCACCCTTATAGATCATGTACTATAACATCGGACACTAATTTAATCAAATCTTCTTCTGTGGATCTTAATCATTCTATCTCTGATCATGGTATCATTTTTATTCAGTTAAATTTAATGTCCTCTTTCAGAAAACGTACCTTTTTAAAGTATAGATCTTTCAGGTCAATCAATACAGAAATGTTCACACATGATTTGGTAAGCATTAATTGGCATCACTTATACAGCATTTATAACTTAAATGATAAGATTTTATATTTTAACAATAGTAGGTATACTTCTTTTATTTGATAAACACGCTCCCTTGCGGGAATGCCGGGTAACGAAACCAAAAGCTCCGTGGTTAACCAATAATGTACGATTGCTGATATAAGATTGCGTGACAATGCCTTTAGGAAGTTTTGTGCATCAAAATTGGATAGTCATTGGAATTACTATAAAATCTTGAGAAATTATGCCAACAACGCAATTTTAAGGGAAAACGTGCGTTCATGGAGCATAGTGTTAAATACCAATCTAATAGCAGTAAATAAAAAATTGTCGGATCTTGGTGTAGGTCACAATAGCTTTCGAAACAAATTACCTTCTCATTCAACAGACGCTAATGCTGTTAATCAGTATTTTGCCTCTAATTTGTCTTTAAGTAAATCTACTAGTTCGAATTTAATACAGTTTTATGAATCTAACTTCTTTGTACACGAGATCCAAAATTTTACCTTTCGTACGATCGACACCAAAGACGTCGTTGAAATTATTACCCAATTTCAATCAAACTCATGCGGGATTGATCATATTTCACTACAAATGATTAAGTTATGTTGTCCAAGTATTATACCTGTTGTCACACATTTAGTAAATGTTTGCATTGAACGTTGCGATTATCCAGATCTATGGAAAACGTCAATAGTGCGCCCGATTCCAAAAATTTCCTCTCCTAAAGCGTATTCAGATTTAAGACCCATCAGTATTTTACCCTTAGTCTCTAAGGTGCTTGAAAAAGTGTTATTTAATCAAATTCAGAATTTCCTAGAATTATCACGTATTCTTCCCGAACATCAATCTGGCTTTAGAAGGGGATACAGTTGCGAAACGGCATTACTTAAAGTTCATGACGACATTTTGTCTGCTGTCAACGAGTACAAGTTTGTAGTCTTAATATTATTGGACTTCTCCAAAGCGTTTGATACGATTGATCATGATATTTTGTTGGCAATACTACATTATATTGGCTTTGGCCCGAATTCTATTACACTTCTCCTTCATTATTTAAAAAACAGGAGCCAATTAGTTGACATTAATGGGAAGACTTCAACAATGATTAATTTGCGATGTGGCGTTCCCCAGGGTTCTATTTTAGGGCCTCTGCTTTTTTCAATATATACTGCTAATATTATAAACAAATTAAAATATTGCAATTACCACCTGTACGCTGATGATACGCAGTTATATTATGCATTTTCTAAAACTGAAGTTGAGAAGGCAAACGGTGAAATAAACGAAGATTTAAATACTTTCCTAAATTACGCTGAACAACATTCATTACATATTAACCCCAGTAAATGTAAGTTGCTATTATTTGGTGCATCACACAACACAGCTACTCGTGCCGAAGTTTCCTCACTCTTAGATATAAGAATCGGAAATAAAAAATTTTTGTTCAGGAAGCCAAAAATCTCGGGCTAAGCTTAAACGTCAATTTCAATTATCAAACGCATATCAAAAATTGTTCACAACGGGCGTTTGCTAGCCTTAGATATATACATCGAATTAAAGGCTTACTTTCTCGCTCTTCAAAAATTATGCTCTGTCGATCACTCGTGCTATCCCATTTTTCATTTTGTAGCGCAGTGTATGGCCCTTGTCTTTCTAAATTTCTTGAAAGAAGAATACAGATTATTCAAAATTCATGTGTTCGTTTAATTTACGGAATTAGGAGGTTTGAAAGGGTTTCTCACAAGTTAAAGTGTATGCCATGGCTAAACATGGAAAAAAATCGACTTCTCTACTCTGCCACTGCATTTCACAAAATTATCTTGTTTAAATCACCACCTTATTTATATAATAAAATTACATTTCGAACAGATGTTCATAATATTAATGTTCGTCGGAAAGATTTGATTACCATTCCTAACCATACAACTATTTAAAAAATCATTTTCATACAATATAGCCAAGATCTATAACTCACTTTCGTCGAACGTTAAACAATTAACACCATCTAAATTTAAACAAAAAGTTTACCACGATTTTTTAACATCTTAGTTACTAATCTACTTTCAAGTTACTCTGTTTCTAAATTTTATTTGTGTATTTTTTTTCTTGTTAATTTAGACCATCAAAATTTTTTTATTAATTTTAGTTTGCTATTAAACGGGTTAAGTGGAAGAGCACGAAGGGCTGCATGCCTCTTAGTGAACTTCGCCTTTTGGACGCCAAGTTGTATGTGTAATATTGGTATTGTTTATATATTTGTCATAGTGTGTCCAAATAAAGTCATTATTATTATTATTTTATAAAAAGTGACATTTTATTACCTATCAACAGAGATAAAATGTCAAAAAGTTTTTCCCGTCACAGAAAAAATATTTTTGCGGCACAACGGTTATTTTAATTTCGTTAAGACGTTAAACATAAAGGATGTAAGACTGTCAAACACGTTTTTTTTTAATCTCTGGTTTGAGCCAGGAAGCTGTTCTGTCAAGAATTGGGGGCACCCGGTTTTTTGTAAAATCCTACCTTTACATAGGTTTCGTATATTGAGAGTCCATCAAATACTTTTTATTTTTGTTTCCTTGTTTATTTACAATCTGTACAATATTACATTTTCAAGATATAATCGCGAGCCTTTCATCCGAGCTTTCATCATTCCAATTCGTACCAAAAACAAGAAATATCCAACTGCTTGCATCATTATAAAAAAAAAGATAGAAACCAGTAGACAAGTAGAATTTCTCCAATTCTGCCTACTTCGAGCAAGAAAAGAACTCCTTGTTTTGTAAGCTCACGCTCCAATTACCGTGCATGTAATTGAGAAAATCCTATAATTTCCCCTGTATCTTAGCGATATATGTATTGCAGCATTACGTCCAAAATTGGGTCAGATTGAGTCCCAATTTAAACTTTTGATTTACATTTACTGCGTGAGAACTCGTTCAATGTACTCTAATTACACTTTCGCAAGATTTTTTGCGTAATATACAATGAAAAACGTTTTGGGCAGACGTTCATAAAACAATGTGAATGAAACTGAGTGCCATATATTACAAAACAATAGTACCTAATAGTAGGACAGGTACTTTTGAGATGGATCGAGCAGTTTCGTTATCGGTGACGCTCTGATGAGTACTTTTATTAACCCAAATAGTAAAATTGCGCGCAATTTGGTTATTTTTGTTACCGAAAATGAAGGTCGCGTTATGATTGATAACATGTGTACTTGTGCCGCTACACATTTCCGGCAGGTTTCAAAATTAGTAGCAATCTAAATTTATATTATCTGAAGTTGCTTGTAGTAATTAAATCTATTTTTAAAGAGTATATTGAACTTTCACGAAGGAGGAAGCCGCATATGTACACTAGGACTAGCACTAGACAATGCAGCTACTTGCGTAATCCTGTAATGTTAGTAAACAGACTGTGTATTTTGCAACGCGATTGCGAAAAAAACCGACGGGCACCGCAGATGAAAGGCTGAAAGTAAAATTTACGCAAGTCAAGAACAAAGAAGCGCACGGGCTTCATCGATCGCATTTATGAATTTCCCGTTTTCCGCTTACCGTATTGCTTTACACTTTTCGAGCACCTTCTTCTTCTCCCATCCCTCTTGCGTTTTAACCCATGCTTCGCCCGGAGATCTCCAATCTTTCGAAATAAATGGCATTGCACCAACACCACGAAAACAAATCAAGCAATAACAATAACAGCTGAGTTTGACAACATCAACACAACTACGTCTAGTACCAGCTGATGTAGATTTTGACGTTTGCGACGCACGCGCGCCTTCGACCGGCGACGTTTATTTTCAAATCCGGCGCATCTCGCCTCTCCTCATTTCGCACTAAAAAGAAAGTTTAATAGCGTAACGAACTTCCGCCTCATTAAAATGAAATTATTTTCGACGTGACTCACAGCCGACCATTTTCCCAAATCTACCCGAAGCGAATGCTCGCAATTTAGAGTGAAAGTTTAAACAAAACTGTTTTGTATTAATTTTGATTTCTTCAAGGCTGTTTCGTAATTATTATTCTAATTTATACTAAGCGGATTCGTTTTAGTTTCAATAAGAAAAATGTAGCGTGGGTTAAATTCGACACGATTAAACCGTGTAACAGTTCTGTAATTGCGGTAGTTCTTCTATTGCAACAAAACAAGTAGAAACTGTACAACAATGGCCATTTTTTCAATCGAGACAAAAAAACGTGAAAGCAGGAACAGGCGCCAGATTGGCAAGTCATCTAATGAAAGCGTATTGTTGACCCTTGAGGCCTTGATCCTAATCGAATAAGGAACACCAACCCTCATTGAGCGCAAAAAACATTCCGACATATAAGTCATAAATCCAAAAAATACCAAGCAATTATTAATCACGCAGTGGGTGAATTTAAGCTTTACGATGATTCCGTTCAAAAAATAGCCCCAAGAACCTTTCCTTTGTATCAAGGATATCTAACAGCAGAATCTATATTATATCTAAACTAAGCCGAGCTTATCGACCAACCCATTAATCGACACCCTACTATCATTGTAGCTGGCAAAAACCTTGCTAGTCGTAGACTATTATCACCAACCAAACGAGTCATCAACATTAGTCCATCTGTAAGCAAACAGGACACGTAGCTAAGAAATTCACCAAATATCTTCTACAAGTCAAAAAATTAACCTCCCAACTACATCGGGTATCCAACAACGCAGCTCTCCTCCTTCAACGAAAATCAATAAATAATCATAATAATAATGTTTATTTATCCTGTTTCGACATAGAGATGTATAGGACAGAGTCAAACATGAGTAAGTACAAACATACAATAAAACAATGAAACAAACACATAAATACAATTAACGGTTTGATACGTACCGAGATGCACCAGGATCATTTAAGAGTTCTTCAACGTTATAGAACATCTTGTCTAAAAGGAAACTGACTAGATTACGTTTGAACGTATGGAAGTTGTTGGTCGTTTTAATGGAAATGGCAGGCTATTGAAAATTTTAGCTCCTATAATATAGGGACTGGACTGATTGACATTAGTTCTTCCTCGTGGTACTCTGAGGTCATTAGTATTTCTTGTGTGGTATTTGTGTATGTCACAATTATGTGGAAGTTGATGTTTATTTTTAAATATAATTTTACACACTTCCAGGATATATAAGTAGGGTAGTGGGAGTATACGGAGCTTGGTAAAGATCGGTCTGCAGGGTTGTGTATAGTTTGCACCACATGTGCATCTAACGATTCTCTTCTGTGTGACAAAAACTTGATTGAAGGTGGATGACCGACCCCAAAGGCACAAACCATACCTGAGCCGCGATTCAATGCAGGCAAAGTAGAACATCCGAAGCTGTTTCACATCTAGATAGTACCTAAGGTAGCGTACTCGATAACATTCAGTATTTAATTGTTTAATTAAGTTTTCGTTGTGGGATATCCAGCTTAGAGTGTCATCGAGTACGACGCCCAGAAACTTTACTGTCGTTGATTTTTCTAAATTAGCATCATTAACAGAAATATTAATGTCGAGAGTATTAGTATTTTGATAATTGTGAAATTGCAAAAATTTCGTTTTGCTATGATTTAAGAATAATAGATTATTCTCAAACCATCTAGATAAATTTTCAATTGTTAATATACATGTTGCTCGTGATTTATTTTCATCCGGGTGTGAAACAACCACGGCCGTGTCGTCCGCATATAGTGAAAGAGTTGCATCAACCGGGATGCAGCTCAGAACATCGTTTGTAAATAGTGCAAAGAGGATCGGTGCTAAAATGCTCCCTTGGGGTGTACCCACGTTTAGCTTTATGATGTCTGAATTAACGTTAGTGGTGTATCCCTTATTACTATGTCGCAATGAGACATACTGCGTTCGATTTTTTAGAAACTTTTCTATCCAATTCAGGGTAGTGCCTCTGACGCCCTAGCGAGACAATTTCTGTAACAATAGATTATGGTTGGCACAGTCAAATGCTTTAGTGATATCGCAGTATATCCCAATAGGCAGTTCTTTTTTCCCTATCGACTGAAGCACTGTATCGTAGAAGAAAAGAATTGCATCAGTTGTGGATTTATTAGGTCTAAAGCCAAACTGGTTAGGTATTAATATTTTACATTTTTCAATAAATCTTTCTAGTCTATCCAAAAAGCAATACTCAAAAATTTTTGAGAAGACGGATGTTATAGAGATAGGTCTAAAATTGTTTGGAGTGTATTTATTCCCCTTTTTGTGAACTGGGATAATTTTTGCCAGTTTAAGGGCTTCTGGAAACGCGCCAGTTAAAAAGGATAAATTAATTAAATATGTTAAGGGCCTCACAATTACGTGAGAGATTATACGAACCAAAAAACAAGGAGAGTCGTCAGGTCCTGCCGATCTTTTGCTTTTTATTTTGTTATTGATTAACTGGATTAGTTCCTGTTCACAGAAAGGGTATAGATACATTGTTCTCTGGTTAGTATTAGTGCTTAAAGTGCTAGGGTTGTTATTTTTTATTGAGTGTATCGTGTCCAGGGGAGCGTTTCTGAAATGGTTATTAAAAAGATTGGCTACCTCCAGGGGATCATCAATGTACCGCGATTTTCCATTAGTTTATAGTTTTGAGTGTCTTTTTGGACCTTATTGTTGTTAATAAACGACCACGTACTTTTGCCGATATTATCTGAGCTTAGAATTTTGTGCTGTATGTTAGTTTTACGTGTAGTAGAGACAAGAGACAAATGTTCTTTCTTTTTCTTTAAGTAGAATGTTTAATATGGGATTTTTTTTTGTAACGCGTATAGGGATTTCAAATTAGCAGCAGAAACTCTCACCTCATTGGTCACCCACCCTTTTTTACTGTTAGTCCCCTGATAATATAAAGTGGCTCTTTTGATCGAACAAACTATTTAACACAGCATTTAGTTTAAAATAGAATTCGTTAAAATCGCCAGTGGGCGACCTGTAACATGATAGAATAATAATTTTGGTGTTTCCGTTTACGCCAGTCTTTGTATTCCATACAATACCACATATTTCGAATGTTTTTTCGATGCAGTACGAATGTAGGTTTATGGGGGTTATGTCGACATTTTCACGGCACCAAATTCTCACGCCACCGCCTTTATGGGTTGATCTGGAGTAGTGTGATGCTTTTTTGAAACCAGGGAAATACACATTTCCGACGTTATCGTTGTTGCACCAGGTTTCTGTAAGACACAGAAAGTTTAGATGATATTGGTCGCATATGTATTCATATGCAATGTAATTGACTTTATCCTCCGACAGTGATCGACAGTTCATTGATACATCACACACATCAACTAGTTCACAGTTTTCACCTGTTTTTTGATGGCTTCCACAGAATTTACGCGATAGCCTAAACTTGTCAAACTTTGATAGGTATATTTTGTGTTATGGAACAGTTGGGGGTGGCGTACGCCGAAGAAAAAAACGACTAACTCTGCTTCCATATGGCCATTGCTCCACAGACATTGCTTTTTCTAAATTTTGAAAGTCAATTGTAACTTTAAAAGACGCGTAATGCGTTTCATAGGTTTTTTACTGGCTCGCAGATGACCTCCGGGAATTGATTTATAAGATAATTTTGCAGATTTTCCCTGGTTGTGTCCGTATGCAATCTAGACACAAACAGATATGCTTTCTTCGGGGCAACCCTTATGGTAGGATTTCCATCGGTTGGACATTGCTTCGTGCCGAAGATGAAGTTTTTGTCCTGTTGCCTAGGTTTTTTGGACTTTTTCACTACTGTGGACCAGGTAGTTAACGGTTCGCTTTGGTCAGAGCCTTCTGAGGTAGCAGGATGGGCCGGAAGAGCTGGACGCTCAGTTGTCCCCTTCTGCTGTGAATTTCCAGTGGTTGATTTCTTATTTCTCGAGGATGCAGCGGCATTTTCTGACGAAGGAGGCGATTTTGTTATGCTGTCCGGAGCGGCGATTGACGTTATCGGGACATTGTTAGATACAGATTGACCTGCATTATTACGTTTGTTCAAACATTTCTCCTCAAGTAACTTAATTTGGTCATTTAATATGCCAATTATTGTATTTTTGTCATTGATAATAGGTTTTAGGTACTCTACCTCACTTACAGATTTTTTCGGCAAGATGTTGACACCAGTTGCACTGACACAACACTTTATGTTATCGGCATCAATCACTGATACATTCTTTAATTTGCTTTTTGCGCAGCTATCAATGGTAAACGTTTTCACAATTTATGCACCTGACCCTTTTTTTGGTTGCATTTTTATTACGGACCGAACAAATAGCAGGGGCGTTTACGCACTCGATTACACCGTCCGCCATGACGGACTTATCGAAGCATATACTGAAGCACATACTAGTAGGTACCAAAAAACCACCTAGTGACCAATCCAGCGGCAGAAGTGAGGAATCAACGCATAAATCACAAAATAACCCTGATCTGACCCCCAGCACACTGATAAATGTCACACATTTGTACTTAGAGAACTTACTTGCATTGTTGGAGAATAGCTTTAGTAATAATGATCCTTATTCTGAAGCACTAATATTAACGGCAGACAACTTGTTTCCAACGTCGTCCTAGACTCGATGACAAATCTATTAAAAACTATTAAGAAGATCCGAGCATTCGTTGTTGAGATACTTCCAATACTTCTCATAAATAATTACTGCTTGTCATATGTACGTGACAAGGAGGCTGAATTTTTGGGACCCGCTTTGTCGGCTCTTGAAAATTGCTTAATATCACACTTATAAATGTGTCATTTCTTGGCATCGAACATTGAGCAATTGAGTTTGGTCTTTCTACCAAGAAAATTGGTGCATACTTGCCCAAAAATATGTTGGTAGCGAAAAATACACATACCTAGACCACTTCTTGGGCATTGAGTAGTAGAGTTTCTCAAGAAAATTCATGCATACATAACGATTCCGAGATCCTTTGGGTAAAAATAATTAGGTCACCAAAGATATACATTTCGTGGTCATCGAGCAAAACATAAGCGCTCCACTTTCGTGGGTAGCGCTAAAAACCAATTTCTTCAGCTAGTGGTATCTGCGCGTTACACAGAAAATGATTAATAGTTCGCCCGCTCGCTCGGTAGATTTATTTGCCCGCTCTTAGTAACTAATCTGGCTAACTGGTTATCTGAGAAATATGAGCCATTAATAACAGCGTTGCAGAATTTAGATAAAGTAACATTCGGTATAGTTAAGGAGGAAACCCGTTTTGCTAAGCGTCAGGAGGAGGAGCCGCAACAAAAAAACACCGTTTGCAGAAAAGACGAAGCGCTTCAAACGTTTTCAAAAGAATACTAAATTCCATGGAAAGTGTTAAATTCAATAAAATTGGTCATAAAGCTATGGGTTGCAGAGTAAGCAAAGCGAGGGGAATTATCCTAACAACGTCGCACGGGAAAGTTACAGTTTGTACAAACAAATTTATTTCGATGAGATCTTTCATTAGGGTAGAACATGTGTTTACCCCCCCCCTCCATTTTCAAAAGTTTAACTGGGCACCACTAAAGACATGTGTAGGTATACAAAATCTGATCTGAGACCAAGTAGTTGTCGTATGTAAAAGTGATGCACGTTTTACTTTCAAAAACAGCATTTTAGGAAATAATTCGTGGGGGGGGGGGTTAGACAGCGAAATTCGATGACCGTTTGGCACACCTTCAAGGTATAGGCTGCCTACTGCAAAAAATTCCAGGACTCTAGAACCATTCCCCTAGAAGTACTTCGAAACGGCAGAAGTGGGTCCGGACAGACGGACGGACAGACAAACGCAAACAATAGCACATTTTTTTAATTCTTAAAACATGAGCTAAAAATAGGGAAAAGCTGAATTTTTGCAAGAAGCATCCTTTTGTGGTTGAAAACAACATCCAAAAAGTTACGTGATGTTAAAGGTCAAGATTAACGGTTTTTCGTAAAAATCTCACTAAGGATATTTCCGCATTCCTGTCTAGGAGTTAAAAGAACAATTTCGTAATCCTCACTAATTCGGTTAGTTAAGAAGACAGTACCAAAACGCTATTCGGCAGATTCCATAAAAAAACTTTACCGCGTATCGACGCAGTTCCACAAAGTAAACAGACAGTTAATTTATGTTCATGTTTAAAACGAAGTTGCGACAAAGAAAACTGTTAGTAAAACTATACAATATTCGAGCTCGTGATTTGTGCCGCTACAGTAGGACCAAATAGTGAAAAGTTTACTTACGGGATTTCCTAAGTTTCCTAAAAGTGTTCGGCCAGTCTGTATTTCACCATCCCAAAATTCGACTCCAAAGCGCAATTTGTTAGAAGCTAGTCCACGTAAACTATTGTGTTGTTTATGTGAATTATGACAAAAAGGACGTCCTGATTTGTTGTCCATTGTAAATAAGAATTTCTCTTTCGCAGTCGAAACGGATTCCATTAAAATTCGCTGTAAGGAAACCAAGTTCAAAGGTCGTCCTTCATTTGATTTGTCAACGTACAAAACAAAACTAGGTTGCGTTTGAATGTAAATTGGTAACGATTATATTTCAAATCCTTAATCGATTTAGTGCTAGTAAAAGAGATGGCCACCTCGATTTAGATTTTAACTAGCCAAATTTATGACCTGTAGAAGTTTAGTAAGTAGACGAGACCTATGTTGCCATTAAAAAAATTCAAGATTATCACACTCAAACACCAAATTTTTTTAACCTCAACATTTGTGAAATAATTTGAAATGCAAGCGTTCTAATTTTCACCTCAAACGGTTTAGGAATGAGTTTTGGTTCCATCTTTAATAGCGACCATGAATAGTAAAATTGCGTCGCATCAAATTATCCCAGTTTTACGAAAAAAATTGTGAGCATTGATAATTTTGAAAATTGCTCAACTTTGATTCCCCAAACGTGAATGAAAAGGAAAAAGAAAAATTTGAAAAGATTCTGAGTGTCACGACGAGCAAACATCTTTTTCTTTGATGGAAATGATTGAAGGCTATTAGTCTTTTTTACAGTATTTTTCAAGAAAGATTCTGATAAGGCCCGCGAATTCGGCCCGCTCTTCCATCCGGCGGTTTTAAATGTCAACACTCAGGTCACGTAGAAATCGCACCAAGACAAAATTTAAACTGTAAACCTTAAATGTCCTACATAATTTGGGTTACTAGTCGAACCGCTGTTGATTAGTCGCCTCTTACGACATGCAGTGCCACTGCAGTAGGGGTATTCTTCTCCGCCCCTACACGGGAATCGAAAAATACGTAGAATACAGACTAATTCATAAACAAAGTTAACCCAATCTTATCCGGACATCGCTTTATGGAAGAATAAAAATTTTATTTTTCCGGCTCCAAAAATTGACTCGAACGAAATTGAAAGGCAGCATAATATTTCTGTTAATAATCAATTGAAGTTCTCTGTGATTTTTTTGATTTTGAAAGAACCTAAAAAAATAAGAGGGTTCCATTTCTGTAGGAATAACGGTTTCGGTTTGGTTTTCGGTCCTGAAAAAAATACTGGTTTCGGTCCGGTTGTCGGTTCTTTTTCGGTCCGATCCAGAGAGGTCCAGAGTACATACTTGTTTGTTAAAATGAGCTGTTGACTTCGTTCAGTTTTTATGGTTATTAGAGGAGACTAAATTACGAATTTAATGTGCCATTAAAATATATTTAAGTCCTTAGTTATATATGAATAAATATAAACACCCGTGGTAAAAGCTATTAATAATCTTTGGCCCTCATGCCGGCAGGTATAAGGGGATTTTCTATATCCCCAGAGTGTATAATATTGCCGTTGAGATCTTCAATCTTGTACACTACCGAAGTGGGTCGTGTAGATAGACCGGCCGAGTCGTCGTAGTTGAGTTTGAGTGAGAATACTCGGTCCCCTTTCTTGTCGACCTCGTCGAACACCAACTTCTCGATGCCCTTCCAGTCGCCCTGGTTGAGGAGGGCTGTCTGGGGGTAGATGTTGTTGGGCTGGTCACCCGGACCGCCGAGGTTCTTGGCGATGATATGACCAGCGTCATCATTGGCGAATCTCGGGTCATTGTTGCCCATTAGCTTGGTGAAGTCCCTGGTGGCCTGGTTGGTTCCGGTGCCCTTCCTCAGATTGTTCTTGGTGATATGGGCCTGGACATATTCGACCCGATTGTTGGCGTTCGGGTTCACCTGAACTTGTCTCAACGCCTGTCTGCCGGTCGGGTCGCGGTGTGTGACCAATGCTAGACCTGGGGATGGCCTGACCTGAGCCGCATTGAACATCTGGACATTGTTCATGTTATGTCTGTTCGGTATGTTATTGAATGTGTTGTCCCACTGACACCCCCCGGACGCCTGACGCCTCCTTCTACATAGTATGCGACCCCCTTTTCCACCTTCACCACCCTTTCCAGCTGGTTTTTTTCCTCCAACAAGTCCCTTACCACCGAGTCCGCTCAGACCGTCACCAACCACTCCAGCCAAGGTGTCAAACAGTTCTCCTGGTGAAGCTTCCCCTTTGAACACCTTGGGAATGGAGTCCAATGAGCCATACGCCGTGTACTTCCCCTTTACCGCGCTGTCTATACCAGTGACCAGACCATCATAGGCGGCACCGGCTGCTACACCACCGGCCACAGCGCCAGCCGGCCCGCCGGCCACAGCTCCAGCAATTCCTCCCCCGACCACAGCCAATGGTCTAGTGGCATCCTTCAGTACCTGTTCACCCTTCTCCTTATCACCCAAACCCAGGTGAATTCCACCCTTTATGTGTCCCAATACGGGAGTGCCGTCCACCTGTTCCTCGAGATGCTTGAGGAACATCATTTGAGTTTTCTTGGCCTCCTCGGGATTGCCTCCAACAGTTTGCACGAGCGAGGTCACCTGGGATATGATAGGTGCTGTACGAACAAAGTTTTCCTGGGTCTCCTTGGCACACTTGCTATCGCCACTGGCCGCCTGGAACAGTGATTTTAACTGGGACAGTATGGGAACGCTATCGATGCCGGACTTGGGACACTTCTTCTCTTCTTCTTTGGGCTTCTCTGGCTCGAGATATTGGTCGATCGGATTGTTCATTGTCTCGACGATGGTTTTCATTAGTGGGTTCTTTCCCTCTCCGCACTCATCGTTGAAGTCGTCGGACTCCATGGACCAGACCATGGCACCGGCCAAACCAAGCTTTTGTGCGTATATAGCCTGGTTAAAAAATCTCTTAGATAAGTGGTTAGTCCGGTCCGACTTACCTTGTACTTTAAGCTGGCCGTGTTGTCGTAGGTGATCCACTGGTCTCCCTTTGTCATGTAGGGAACAATGGAGGTCGAGTCCCACCTGATATCCCAGTCCTTGTCATTCTTGGTCATCTCGCATATCTCCCTATAGTAGATAGCCCCTGGCTCACCGCTGTACTTTCCCGGTTCACCAGGTCCCCGCACAGCCGCTCCGACGCCATTATTGCCGTCCTTTAGAGTGATAGCCCTGCCATAGAGGGGGAATCCCATGACAAGCTTGGAAGCCGGTGCTCCCTTGGCCAGCCAGAAGCGCACGCCATAGTTAACGTTGAAGGTTTTGTCCTCGTCGTCCGGTCGGCCGAACAGCGGGGCGTTGTGACCGGTGATGTCGTCGAAAGCCCCATGGTAGTCGTAGCTCATGATGGATATGAAATCGACCAAGCTAGATATGGTGGGCACGTCGTAGCCGGTCTCCACTGTCCGCGGGTTGGCCGACACGGCCACCGATAAGGAGAAACCATGCGGGCGTATAGTGGTCGAAAGGGCCGAAAGGAGCTTGCTAAATGTCGACTGATCTTGGGGCTGACCTCCCCGCGTGCTCGGGAACTCCCAGTCGATGTCGATTCCGTCAAAGCCATGCTTCTGTAAGAACTTCAGAACTGATCTAGCAAACTCCATACGACTAGCTGCGGTAGATGCCATCAGGGAATATTTTTCAGAACCTTCATTCCACCCTCCTATAGCCACTATGGTTTTTACCCCGGATTTCTTCAACTTATTGAATCTAGCATATGCATCTGCAAAGTGGACAAGGTTATTATTATTCATCATAAGTTGTCGCTACTCACCTAGTCCACCACCAGTCTCATTCTTTGACAAGTCTAACCAAGGATCAAATGCTGCGATTTCAAACTTTTCCAACTTGGCAAATCCATAAACAAGGTGAGTGCATAGGCTGGCGTCTATATCTTCGATTGTCTGGAAATTGTCAAGTTAATATTACGATAACCACGATCAGTTACTTACGAATTTACCCTTATCCGGCTTGTAATTTGCCCATGTTCCAATGTAGCACACCATAAGTGATTCTAGCAAGTTAATTTTGAAAGAAGGTAAAATTCAACTTGAAACTTACTTTGCTTAGATGATCTTTTGGTTCTGGTCAGTGATTTGGTTGTAGTTGTAGAGTACGAACGAGGTGTTTTATTAGGAAAACAAGCTCCATATGACCATGTTGGGTCCTTATAGCACCACCCAGAGCAGCACTCCGTGTCCTTGAGGCAATACTCGTACCAGTCCTCGAAACAAACTTTGGTCTCTTTGGCGGAATCGTTGAACAGTCTGTAGGAATGTGGTCGACAAACGCCTGCCTTCCAGTCACCGTCGGGTCCGCGGTCGCAGTAGGCCTCGCCCTCGGCGCAACAGTCTTTGTCAAGTGAACACCCGGTCGTGTACAGTGGGAAACACCTTGCAGTCTGGTCAATGTTACCAGCAGCATTTGGTTTATCATCAAGGGATATTATGAAATAGAATTCGTTAGTCTTGCACACACCCTGGCCAGTTGTGTTCTTGGTGCTCGTGTCGCAAATACCAGTGCAACAATCTAAATTGCCCATGCAACTATCACCTTCATGTTTATTGCACGTGGTACTTTTGTTGGTCTCCAGTTGGTAGTGAACTATCATTTGGATATTCTTGCAAAGACCAAACTGCCAATCACCTTTCTCCCCTTTGTAACAGTACCCCGAACAACAATCGACATTATTCTGGCACTTGTTGGCCCACAACGGCATACATTGGGCACTATCGCCATCTAGGAAAAATTGTGTGATCTGTGCGACATTTTATCTAAATCACCTTTAGCCAATTTAATCTTGTCCTTATGAAGATCGGGCCATTTGCACACACCATACTCCCAATTGGTATTCTCGCCAAAGTAGCAGTGACCGGAACAGCACCTTGTTGAATTTGTACACCCATTGTACCAGAGCTTATGGCAGGTACCGTTGCCTGAAAATGAACTTGCTTATTCCAAATTTATCCAGGAAAATGTTTACCTGATAAATTATTAAATTGGCTAGTTTTATTTTTGCAAACGCCCAACTTCCAGTCCTGCCTTGGCCCTTTGTCGCAATACTGGGAACAACATTCGGAATCTTCGTAACATTCGTTGTAGTAAAGTGGCTTGCAGATTTCATTTCCTGGAATATGAGTATAAAAAAGCACATTTTATAATTTCACATACCAGTCTTGTCCCTTTGGATACCGGTAGAATTTGGCTTGCACACTCCAAACTCAAATTTATCAGGCTTATCGCAATACTTCGAGCAGCACGTTGAATTAGCTTGGCACTTATTATACCAGTCATTATGGCATTCTAATTAAAACAGAGAATTATTAATTGGGTAAGCTTGTCTTATAATTTTTACCTGGTTCTTTACAAACCCCAAATTCCCACGATTCTGGTCTCTCGCAGAACTCGGAACAACAATCTAGGTCGATCTGGCATTTATTAAAATAGTTACCATGGCAACTCTGATTAAGCTGCGTTTTGCTCTCATTGGGCTTGCATACACCGAATTCAAAGGTGGCAGGTTTATCACAGAAATCCGAGCAACAGGCGGAATTATCCTTGCATTTATTATACCAATCTTCATGGCACGTGTTAGTAACAGCTTTATCTGGATAAAATATCACAAGGTTACAGCTATAATGTACGGATTTTCCATTATATCCTTTGTGACAGGAACAAGGTCATCTGAATATAGAGAACCACGGTGAATTTGGATAGACTAGAAGAAGAACAGAATAGTGCGTTGTGTATAGATGTTTCCAGAATATCAGAATGACACTGGTGAAGACCATCTGATAGCATCGACGACCCGAGCGAGTCCGAAGAAGGAAATAATGCAGATATCAACAGAAACGATCGCCTTCTAGGATTAAATAAACAGGATTAAGGATTAAAGAACAAATGTCTATTGCAAAAACGAAAACCTGGATTCTTGTAAAAGCTGAAGAAGCGAAAGGCAGAAAGATTTTGAGTAGCAAATGGGTATTCGATAAAAAAAATGGAACTGGAAGACGAAACATACATGCAAATTCCGGAATGTTACCCAAGGAAGTAAGGAATAATATGTAAGCTGGAGAGAAGTTATTATTGTGGAATGAAACTTTAACGGAGAGGCTCAACACAATTGGATTGAAAGCACCAATAGTTTCTTGCTGTATACGTGAACCAGGGGATAATCTGCAAAGGGTAAATGAAATTTTGAACAATATAAAAAAATGCTCAAAATTACAATAAACAGTCATCGGAGTGGAAATTTGAAAAGTTTGTGAACAATTGAGAAATATGGTTTGGGTCCTGCAAAGGAGAGAAAAAAATGAGCGAAATTTAAAAGGTATTTTCCCATATCGCGAAGCAGAGGAAGTCTGCTTTATCTCAGTTCAAAAACAGGTCCGGACATTCGTTTTGCTGTTGGAAAGGAATCTGGATACCTTGAAAATTCATTAGATCCGGATGTAAAGAACGTACAATAACATATTTGAAAGGAACCATTAACGTTTGGGTTTGTCCTTAAAAAAGAATGGACATTTGAATGAAATGGTAGTGTACACGGATAGCGATTATGCTAACGATGTAGAAAGTAGACGTAACTCGATACGCATGTTTCCCTAATGGTTCATCAACAGAAGCCGAATTCATCTCTGGTTTTTGAAAGCCTTAATTGAAGATTTAATAGGCTGACTAAGAAAAAGTATCAAGTAGAATGTAGTAGATTTTGTAAAGGTAAATAAACTTGTCAATCATTCAAGATATAATTTAATAATTTTTGGAAGAAATTAACAGCAAAAAGCGGATACATTTACCTTATAAGTATATATTTGTGTTAAAAAAAGAGAGATTCACAATACAATGTCACAATAAGTAAAACAATTAATATTTTCAATATAATGCTTATACTTTGAATCGATTGACCATGAAAAATCAACATAGATAGGTATAATGGAAAATCTCAACGCAAGTTATCTAGATTTATATACCTGGCAATTTCACTTTACAAACACCAAACTCCCACGACTCTGGTTTGTCACAGAATCCGGAACAACAATCCTGGTTAATCTTGCATTTATTAAAATTAATATCTTGGCAACTCTTCTCGCCCCCTGTGCTGACCGAAGGCTGTTTGGGCTTGCAAACACCAAATTCAAATTTATTGGGATTATCACAAAAACCCGAGCAACAGGAGGAGTCATCTTGGCACTTGTTATACCAATCATCATGGCACGTAGCTTTACCTAGATCAAAAAAGGTTAAAGCTATAATGTACAGATTCTCCATTCCTTGCTGATAAAATCAACATAGATATAATGGAGAATTTGTACGCAAATTATCTTATTTGTCATACCTGCTAATTGCTCCTTACAAACACCAAACTCCCACGATTCTGGTCGATCACAGAATCCGGAACAGCAATCTTCGCCTTTTACACATTTATTAGACCATAGGTCTTGGCATGGTGATATTGTCTTGAACAAAGCAACTAAAATTATTACCTTGTTCATTTTAGCAAACAGACTGAGACGCAAACGAAACGAGTTTTACTCATTTATTTACTTATATAGCCATATAGATACGAGATTATTCACAGGAAATTACATTGCTTGAGGTTGGGGATAAACCAGGTTTTCCGTGGATGTCACAAATTTACGTTAGAATCAAGATCAAAGTTTGGTTTTCAAAACACAAACAGTATACCTCGTAGATAATTAAAATGACCTTGATAAAGTCGGCTAGAACATTGTCAGTGTATTATATTTGCAATTCATTGCCAGGGTATGTTCAATGACCCTTAACAAGGCTACAACCCAAATACATTTTTAATGAAATTGCAATTGTGACCTATACCTACAGGGCTATTTATATCACAGTTGCATTTTTTTAATGGAATCCCCTGTATATTATTGCATATTTATTGGGAGGCCCTGCTCAATTTTAGTGTGGCTTTATACAGATATCTAAAATGAATGGTTTAGCCGCAATTCATCATTTCCTCAAAAAATAGATGTCCATTAAACTGAAATGGCGCAGTTATCATAAAACATAGAAGGCTGTAATTATGCATTAATGAAATGTACTAACAGGTCGAACGGTCAAAGTCAAACTCTTTTTGAGATTTTGAATATATAAAATAATTATGTTAGTGTAAAAACTCGTGTATTGCTAATCTTAAATTTTAGGATTTACCAACATGATTTATAAGGAAGAGACAATTTTTTCGGGATTTCACGATACATGGTAGGTTTTACCAGTGACAGTTGATAAATGTTATTTATCGTGGGAATAAAACAAGGAGAACCTTTTAACTTGATGAAATTGGTTGGTATAGCTCACAATGGGGTAGCTTGATCAGGAATTGTAAAACACTAAATCTCCCCACGCATCCAAAATTTAATGACAATTTAAAGTTGACAGGTAGTTTTTGATGAAAAACACATGTTTCGGAACGAACCTCGTTCCATTATCAAGTGTTACAAAAAATTTTTATCATTACCTGGGTGATAGCTAAAAACATTAAAATTAGAACTTAACTCAATCATGAGTGAAACTGACCAAGAGGAAAAAGTGATGTAAAAAATTAATTAAGTTTAAGGCGCCACATTTAAATTTCAAACATTTTTCAGGTTGTTGTGTCTGAAGGACAACAAACAAAACCTTTTTATAACATAATTAAATTAAAAGGGAGGCCCCAAAGCGGACCACAGCTTAACAGGAAGAAACGTCTAACAACGTGGTGTTTTTTTGTAAGACAGGTTGCAATGTAGTGTTGTAGTGTAATTTTCAAATTTTCACTATAACCTGTCTTACAAAAAAACACCACGTTGTTAGACGTTTCTTCCTGTTAAGCTGTGGTCCGCTTTGGGGCCTCCATTTTAATTTAATTATGTTATAAAAAGGTTTTGTTTGTTGTCCTTCAGATACAACCGAGGACACAACAACCTGAAAAATGTTTGAAATTTAAATGTGTCGCCTTAAAAACTGAATTAATTTTTTACATCACTTTTTCCTCTTGGTCAGTTTCACTCATGATTGAGTTAAGTTCTAATTTTAATGTTTTTTAGCTATCAGTCATGTAATGATAAAAATTTTTTGTAACACTTGATAATGGAACGAGGTTCGTTCCGAAACATGTCGTGTTTTTCATCAAAAACTACCTGTCAACTTTAAAATGTCATTAAATTTTGGATGCGTGGGGAGATTTAGTGTTTTACAATTCTTGAGCACTTTTTAATCATTTATTTTAATTATTTATCAGTCAAAACCGTACGTACATAACCCTATAAAATACTTCTTGAATAGTAAAAAATAACACAACTCTTCTCACGATCATAACGCTTACATTGGTTAATCTACCTGAATCGGTATGCATCTTCTGGGTTACAGTAATTTTATATGACATTGTCTAAATATTAAACTCCTACCTGATATTCTGAATAATTACATTCTAGGCAGAGTTGGCCATCTCTTCGATTAATATTAATTCGTGCAAATATTTTAACTATAGGATTGTTCCCAAATTACACTTTAACCCGAGCTTTAACCGCAACCTTGACAAAAAAATTGTGAAATACATCTGAATCTGATTCCCTTATTCTAAACTTTAAATGGAACTCGATTTTGAATTCCGCAAGATTAATAAATGTGAAAAGACTGGTCACAAACCCAGGGGTTGAAAATAAATCGACAAACCGATAATTTAACTTAAGTTTCAACAACTTTATGATCTCTCATTCACAGTTTAATGGTAATAGTAATAGTTCATTTTCTTTATTCAATCGATTTTAAAGCCGTAATATATATAAGAGCATGCAACAAATTTTCTGCGTGATTTTTCATGAATGTGGCAACCTGGATTTCTTACAGTTACGGGGTTGGTTCAAGACATAGGGGTCGGGATGCCCGACGGCCTGAATAAATCCAGTAGTAGCGCTTGGAATGATGATAATTAAATTGCAGATTTTGATTGTTGAATTTCCTGGTCTGTACAAATTTTGGGCGTGCCAATTTACACGATCACTAGCATAAACTCGATTTTACGGGGTTGCTCTTGAAATTTTGAGTTTAATATTTTGGAAATCCCTAATGACTTTTAACTATAGCGCCTCAAATATGAACGTAAATATTATCTGGCTTTGCCGACCGTTTTCTTTATCGCAATTTCACTTTTACACTGGATTTTAAAGATTATATAATCATAATATAATTTGTGGCACCGCGTAGAGCGCGGTAAAATGTTTGTGGAATTTGCTGAATAGCACGTGGATTATAAATATGGACAGTGTCTTGATCTGATTTACGCTTACGAGCTTTTACCCTTCTACGCGGTGATGTGACAATATTCCTTGAACGTATAATTTTGTATTACGTTAATCCTTACTGAGATAGCACTTTTTCGCAAATTAACGGCCGCGAAAATACGCGTGTAAGTTGCACTAAAGGTAGTGAAAAATAAAACGCCCTCTTCCACAAATATCCAAAATGTGAAACTGGACCGAACTGGACTTTCTGCAATTTCTCCATAGTGGATAAACGATAAATTTCAGAGAAGTACCTACTGAATACAATGGACATTGATTGTCGCTTGGATCTGGATTAACTTTTTCGTCAAAACTGGGTTTTTCCGAACGCCAAATGGAATTACTTAGTCTCTAAAAGCCGCTTTACAAAAACACCGTACTGAACAAAACACTAAGCTTTCGTATAGACCCTTTGGATGCCAAAACGAGACTCTCTCTGGTTGGCGAATTCTTTATTTCGTGCAAAGCTCACCTCCTCTCGCTATACTAAGTTAACATGATGGAAAGCAATGGCGGCGATCCTTCGATAATGTCCATTGGTTTGCAAACTCTAAGTTGGTCTCCAAAAATCGCTGATGTAACAGAAATGTACTTATCACTTTCCCAAGGAAGCTTAATTTGCAAGGTCAGAAATGAAAGCATTATATTACCTCCCTTTATCACGTAAGAGATACAAAATCTCGTCAATGGGGCGCCAAATACAATTGGGAACAAAGGAGTTAATGCTAAACCTGACTCAGATGACAAATAAACCCCTAAAGCAGATCTAAAAAAGCGGCAGCGCACCTCGGTGTGACCCTAAGGGGTCATTGGATTTGACCCATTGTCAATACGTTTGTTACATGTGATGTGGCATATACGTCAACTGTGCAAAGTTTGAACCGAATCGGTCCAAGCGTTTGACGGTTGACGTCTATAAACTTGAAAACTTTTCCTTCCGCACTTTTCAGCGGAATAAATCGCAAAAAATTTACGTAAAATACACTCTCATTACAATAGTGGTACCTTTCAAGCAGTAGGGAGCATAGATAAAAATAAGAAAAAACGAAAACCGTTTTGGATGACAGAGGAGGGTTAGGCATGTATCAAATTTCATATTTTCTTGAACTGCAAAAATCTGACCTTATTTTTATTCAATCTTGTCGTGTGAATCGGTTTTGCTCTTCCACCAATCCACAATCGTTTCCTTAAAGAAATCCCGTTAAATCACTCGTATTGTTTTCCACCAAACCGGCTCGAAGGACCACTGTGTAACTTAGCAAGCGAAAGTTGGTGTAGGTTGGAAACAGAAACGACGTCGTTTTTCCCCTTTATTATCACCTATTTATTATGTTAAGTGGAACCAACAGTGTTTACTGAATTAACTTAAGTCTGGAAAAATGAATATGAAAAGCAAGGCGGTTAGTCTTTTACCCAAAATGTCGGAAATTGCCGCTCGTTAATCTTGGCTCTTCTAATCGTACCTACCTACCGTATAGTAAGTACGCTCTCTAACAGGTATTTAAAAAACAAATTGGAAAAGGAGAATGAATCAATTGTTATTTATTATTAGGTAGTAAATAGTTACTTGTACAACTTACTAGTTTTGAAAGTGATACGTTTTTTCATGATTTTGCAACAAATTCATGAAACAAAGTCACTTTGTGTTGCACAAGAAATTTTTCCTTAATAACCCATAATTGAATAATATTATTGACATTCAGTCAAAAATTTAGCTATTGTTGATAGACAGGACTAAATGCCATGGAAACGCATAGTAAAAATATTTTAAAAAAAGTACCACTTTCCATACGATCTTTTGACAAAAAAAGTCCGGTAATTTGAGAACTATGCAAAAATAGTAATAATTGTTTGTACCGTGATCAAATTACCGGACCTTTTTTGCCAAAAAATCGCATTGAAAGTGCTATTTTTTTTTCACGATTTTTACCTATTTAAGGATATGTTAATTATGCATTTATTTCACTGCCCAATTTTAGTCAAAAGATGATAGGATTTTAGAAAGTTATTAACTTGGTGGGATTGAAAATTAACAGGAAATATCAGATGGCAACCACTTAGTATTGATTTTATACAAGTCTTTAGTTTCCATTAAGTGCCTTACATGTCTTTTTGTAGGTTATAGCAAAAATCTGAAATAACCTACCTAATACTGACTCATATCGTATTGCATAACACCATCGCCACAATTTTATAACCAAATAAAGTGTGCAATTCATTCATTTTAATCAAACATTTATAAATATTTCATTACAAATACTTATTAATGTATAAATTAGTACTTAACTAGTCTAAAATCACACAATAAATTCTTCACATACACACATATTTACTCAACGAAATTGTCAAATAAAGAACTTTATGCCTAAAAGTTTACTTTAAAGACAAATTTTATTTATTTATAATATATACACAACAAGCAGATACATTCTTTCATTTCATCAATTAAACCATTCGTAATGTCCCAAGTCTGTCCTTGTTCGCCATGCAAATGAGAAAACCGTTAACAATAACAGTGAAAAGTTAATGGAACACCCTGTACACCAACCAACTCAATCATGAAACCAAAAATGTTTTGACTCACCGACACGTATTTAAATTTTAGAGCGAAATTTATGACACTTGAATTTGCTTATGATTAAAAAGGGAACATGACACTTAAATGATGCGCATATCTACATGGATGGAATGATTTTATTAAAGAGCATTTTTTGAGTTTATCCATTCTCAGTAAGCGATTGAAGTAAATTACTGTACTCGTCCATGGACAGTAATTCCTCGTTTATGCTAAAACCAGCCAATGAGCTTCGTTGATCATGGATCACCTCGACTCACCTAGACTCAATACTTCGTTTTCTTCTCTTTTCAGCTATTTCGCTCGTCGCTTCAATACATAACATAACTAAGCGTGCGTCGCACGAAACGGGGGTCTGATCCAAGAGTTTCGCCCCCTTCAGCGATCCAGCTAATCCGACCTTATCTTTGGCGTTTGAGTGCCACGCGTCGCAAGACGAATCCAACGCTCGCTCGCCGCTCGGAAGAGCGCCGTGCCAGACCGACTTATGCGGCCACGTCACGTCCGACATGACGTTCTTACCATTGAACGAGAAAACTCGCGGGAAATTAGTGAAGACGGCCCCGCCACCGTTGAAAATTTCCCCCCAGGAGTTGAAGAGAATCTCACCGCGCGAGTTGGTCACCGGCAGTTTGCGATCGGCCGGGCGAACAATTGCGTCGACATCCTGCACTCTCGACGAAAGGAAAGCTCTGAAAGTGCCACGTAAGCCGGCCCTTCGAGATTCTCGGTAGCAGGAGTAATCGGCGCCTCTAACTCCGTGTATATCGCCGGTGAAAGGCTCATTTAGTGCGATCATGCGGAGCTGAAAGAGATCGATTGTTACGTTAGTCACAGACGATTTGTTGAAAATGAGGTAGGGCTTACCATCTTCGGGTGCCACTAGAAGAATTAAAGCAAAGTTATATGCGTGATTAGTAATGGGTACGTAGAATGATTAGGGATTGACTTACTTGAGCAACATCCGCTGAAAGAGGTACGTGGTTCACCAAATTGCTGGCTTCAAACAGAGGCTTCGATGGAGTGGGGGTGGGTGTTGGAGTTATAGGTTGGGTGGTTATTGGAATTATGTTTCCCAACTAAAATATCGGGTGAGTGTGGTCAAACGCTAGGAACGAGCTTACCGCAATGTACTGCCACCCATGATTGACGCGTACAAGTAGAGCTTCTTCCTCAATTAGATAACCTATGGTGCCTACTGGACTGATCGACGACATCTTCGTCATTACTTCACGCGTTTGGAAAGTAACGGCACCGGGTACAATTCTAGGTAGTGATGGATCTATGTCACTTGTTTGAGGTAGTGTTGCTTCCGTTGGTCGACCTATAGAAAAAAACCAAAAAAACATCGCATTGTCAAATCAGTACCTGCATGAAAAGGTGTTGGGAATTTTTAAAACTTTGACCTTCGATTTACAGTTACTCTGATTATTGTAGAAGAGTGGTAAAAATTGAATCACTCGCTGAGGGTTGTGAGGAAGTACAATACACTAATAATACAATTATTATCATTAGTTCACTATCATCAGATCATTACTGAATAGCCAATAGAAGCAGAAAAATTAAAATTTGCGCTGTTTTCAAGTTACGTAATTTCTTAGAAATAGTAGGGGAGACCAATAGGAAATGTTTTACTCGAGCGCGTCAGATTAAAGTAAGATGGGTTGACTACGTGTTGAAAAGTGTGCATTTCAATCATGACGATTTGGGCGTGATGTGAGGGAGTGGTAAGGTGGCAGTTGAAGCGTGTCAGTTGACTGAGATCATGGACGGTCGTTTCATAAATTATACCCTTCCGTACAACCTCCCCCACCATGCAAACATGCAGATTTGCAGTTTTTTCGCCCTTCCAAAATGATCGGAGTAACCTTAAGAATTACTTTAGGTCGCATGGCATTTCTCACATAATTACCTGCTGAAAATTTCAGTTCTTTTAGCTCTCTGAGGGCTTTCAGCTCCTCAAGGCTACTTTTTAGTCCTTGTATTGCATGTCAAAAATGTTAAGTGAGAAAGACAAAGGGTGATTAAAGACAGACTCACCAGGTCGCGTATTCCACGTCGGTTCTCCATAGTTACCACTTGGTGAACCAGGAATGCCAGGCGGTCCAGGTGGTCCGGGTGGACCGGGATGGCCGGGTACTGGAATGTATTTAATTGACACGTCTTCTGAGGGACCTCCCGCCGGACCTGGAGGACCGGGCGCTCCATCTCGACCGGGTACGCCATCATTGCCGCGCTCTCCTTTTTCCCCCTTGCCCTACACAGTTCATGTACATCCACTAGTGGTATAGAAAACACACTTACATGTGAGTATCCTCCACCTCCCGGATCGCCTTTCTCTCCTTTTGGGCCTGGATGACCAGGAGATCCTGGGCGACCCTGCAATGATGCACATTAGAAAATAGTTGTTATGACTATACTAGGTATGCGCATATTTAGATAGTCTTACCTTTGAACCGTTCTGATTTGCAACAACATAAACAAAATGATTTACCGCAAACAAATGGTGTACCAACTTACCGTCCAACCTGGAAAACCAATTTCTCCAGTCGGGCCTGGTTTACCGGGAGGGCCGACGGGACCTGTACCTCCCGGTTTACCCCTTCGACCGCGTCTGCCCATTTCTCCTTTTTCGCCCTAAACAGAGTCGTAAATTTTATAGTAGGAGCAACAAGAGGAGTTACCTTAACGGTCATAACGTGAGCGGTACTGTTGGCCACAAACATAGGGCCGGGAGGTCCTCGTTCGCCGCGCTCCCCCTTTGTTCCGGGAGGTCCCATAGGTCCGATCGCTCCTAAACTACCAGGCTCGCCTTTCTCTCCGGGAGCACCGATAGCACCGTTAACACCGGGCATACCAGGCAAACCAGTTTCACCGCGCTCTCCTTTTTCGCCTTTCACACCCGATTCACCTTTTGATCCAGGCAACGTTTGCACGTTCAAGTTCGAGGTTTCACTTTGTACGTTTGCGGGCACTCCCGGCGGACCCGGTCGGCCAGGTTCACCCTTTTCGCCCTTTTCGGCATTTTTCCCATTCGCTCCTGGAGATCCTGGCAACCCGTCAATACCCGGCGATCCCGGTTCGCCTTTAGAACCTTGCGTACCCTTTTCGCCTTGATAGCCTCTTTCGCCCTTATCGCCTCTGGCACCAGAATCACCCCTATCACCTTTGCTACCTAAGATTCTTTAATCACAATCGATTCAAGTGACAATAACGTACCGGGCAGTCCTCGTTCGCCTCGTGGTCCGCTTGGACCTTCCGGTCCGGGATCGCCCTTACTGCCGTGAATACCCGGTCGTGTACCTCCGACGGATTCCTAAAGACGCACATGTTAATTTATTACCCAAACATTTTACAAACTAAGTTATAAGACACCTTAAAGATACCTCGGGGTTTCCAGCTTGGCTAAATGAGAAATGTGTTAGATTACTCGTTATAAAAATTAAACAGGCTACTATTACTTACATCAGCATTCTCAAATTCAATAGGTCCGGGAGGACCGGGAGGCCCAGGCGGTCCCATCGGACCCGTATTTCCATCTCGTCCCGGTACACCTTTAGTCCCCTGTATTCCTTCGGGACCGGTAGGTCCTCTTTCACCTCTGTCGCCCTTATCACCGCGCGGACCGGGAGCACCACGCTCGCCCGGAGGACCTGACAAACCGGTCATACCGGGAGGACCCGCCTTACCCTCCGCGCCCGGTACTCCAGGAGGACCTGGTAGCATCATAGGTAACATCAACGAATCAATAATGGCGGATGCGTTGCAAGAGCATCGCCCGGACGCTTCGCCCTAAAACAACGGTCAGTTGGGGGGTCTGTCCGGTTAGATTTACCTCGGGTTTCGTGCCCGGCTGCCCTTGAGGACCTGGTGGGCCTGGAGGTCCCCGAATTGATTCACCCGGCGAACCCTACAAACGGAATTAAAAGTGCGTCAAGTCGCGCCTCACTTACTCTAGGGCCTCTGTCTCCTTTCTCTCCCTTTAGCCAATTAGAGCCTTGCGTGTCGGACAAAATATAATTACAACAATTGGGTTGACCACATGAACATTCCTTACCATCGGGAGATGGTGGCGGAGGAGGAATGGCCGGCGGGTTGGTCTCTTCGTTTTCGTTGCCGTCCCACAACGTTTCTGGGTCGCGTTCAATCTGCAAAGGTGAAACGTCCGATCAGAATCCGTCCTCAAATAAAATCAAGCTCTTAATGTTAAATAGCGTTGTTAGTCGAGGCGCAGGTAATTATCAATTGTTAGCTTAGATGTTTAGCCAACGAAAAATTGAACCTACTTACATTGTTGCTATCTAAATCTTCCGGTAACGGATCTTCACCTGATGCAAAACCCTAGTTTATAAAAATATAATAACCAAACGTCTGTATGACTGAGTAATTTTGTTAGTCCGAATAGAAATTGTGTATTTACTACAGTGTTATAGCCTCGAATCGAAACGAACCTGAAAATCGGTTTCGCATTGTGTGGTAGCCATCGCAGCGTCTTCGTACAGCTTCAGTTGGTCCATTGCACCCTTAAAAAGATTAAGTAACGGAACTTGTGTTATGAGTTATTGTTGCGTACAATAATTTAAACACTGTTTACAGATATCTTTATTTACTTGAAAAACCTCTCACAGATTAAAGGCGAAAATATACATTTCTACAGAATATTCTTTACGTCAGTCACATCGCGTATTAAAAGAACTCAAATCGTCTCTTTTTAATATTTCAGACAGAGTTATTCCACGTACTACAAAAGTTGCACAGTTAATCTCCGAATTAATTACTTTGACAGTAACATATTGTTGTGTAAACAACGTCATGACATGTAGATATTATTACGATCCAAACACCAGACATAATGACGGGACACCCTGTAAATATTTAAATTTATTATGTCTAGGGGATTATATACGAATATGCACAAATTTCGTTTATTGTGGTTGAATTCGTGCCTCAGTGTTATTTTTCCTTTTAGAAGTGTTGAAATTGCGTAATTCTTATTTAAATTTTATGGCTTTTGTAACTTGTTTATTTAGATTTATGAATTTAATTGTAAATTGCGTGTTAAAATGTAGCCACATCTGGGCGTTTTCGATAAGAAGTTATCGGATTAAGTTTAATTAACGCACGTGTTCGAATCACTATTAGGCGGTCGCCTTCGGCTTAGAAAATTTTGGGGATCAGGGTGCGCTCCTAGCTGATGAACAGTTCGATATGCTCTTTCTCACCCAGAACTTATCTAGGAGTCCGTGGGTTGGGATGGTAGAGCCGAGTTATCTTTGAGAAGCGTTTCTTCCCACGAGATAATTGTTTCTGTCACATCTTGCCTGCTTGCAGGAGCATCGCCAGCCTTTTGATGGCGTTGTCCTCGGCGACGAACTCGTTCACATCTTCTGCGTCTCCCTTGAACTTGGCAGAGCACTTTGAGAACGATCCCCTCTGTGCCTTCGTCGTAGTTTCCTTCAGCTGCTCGATCAAGACTTGGAGCTACGGTGAGGGTGATTGGTGCTTGGGGTTTGGCCATTTTGGTTCGCGTCTGTGATCTTGTGAGTGATGCAATCTTGAGGCCTTCTAGTTGCGCCAGCTTCTACTGCTTGATGTTTTTTACTGAGGCTTGTGTTCTTCATTTAGTTTCCTTGTTGCAGCGCGCTCCTGAGCCGTTTCTTCTTAGTTTGTTGCGTTCCGTCTGGAGGAAAGGATGCCTTAAAGGGCCCACGTCAGAATTGTCCGGCTTATCGTATGTGTTCTGATAAGCTGGGAATCTTCAGTGTCTGCCGGATATCTTGGTCCCTTATCGAACCGATAGTCTCTAGACGATTAGACCTGGCACCCTCACCTTGTCGAAGGTCTTCTCGTTACCGAATGATGCTGCGACGGTGGGTTTGGCAGGTTGTAGCTTTCTGCCGCTGCGTTCACGAACCCTATGACTTGGAGTGTGGTGGAATGTTCTTTCCGGAACTCGAACTGCTCCGGCCGAAAATCGAGGAGAGGTTGCTGGCGGGCATGGAGCACTCTCTCATATCTGGCCTAGGGCAGGCAGGAACGAGATGAGACGGGAGTTGTGGGACTTTTCGATGGATAGTGCCGCTGAGTTAAAAATCCGTGTGCTTTAGGCCAGCATTACTCTGGTTACATATTGTCGTATCCAGCTGCCTCCTGGGCGTATTCGTACTTTTTCGATCAGACTTCTCATAAGAAGTTATAGACTAGAAACCAATTTCGAAAGAAAATTCAAAGGGCTGTAACTTTTGAACTAGTAGCCCAATCTTGGAACTGTTTGAAATTGTGGATTTTACAGGCCACATTCTATAAGAAAATTTTTTTTCCGGGTCGATCCGAGACAATTTTTTCTCCGGTTCTCAAAAAAAGGCAGTGTATAACCTTCCTTTTTTTACCAAAAATCGACTGCACCAAAATTTCTCGGGAAAACACTTTTTCTTATTAATTTTAGTGCGTAGAATCCAAAACAATTCGTACTTTTTCGATCAGACTTCTCAATAAAAAGTTATAGACTAGAAACCAATTTCGAAAGAAAATTCAAAGGGCCGTAACTTTTGAACTAGTAGCCTAATCTTCGCCTACCCTTACGGTAAAGAAGCGGTCGGTCAGGTAGTAGTTAATTATTTGAACGAGGGTGACAGGAACGTTAGGCAATCTTGACGATTAGACCTGGCACCCTCACCTTGTCGAAGGTCTTCTCGTTCTGCTCAGGCCGAAAATCGAGGAGAGGTTGCTGGCGGGCATGGAGCACTCTCTCAAATATCTGGTCTAGGGCAGGCAGCAACGAGATGGAGCGGTAGCTGTGGGACTTTTCCCTTTTTGGGCAGCGTGATCATCACTTCCCGCTTCCATACCGATGGATAGTGCCGCTGAGTTAAAAATCCGTGTGCTTTAGGCCAGCATTACTCTGGTTACATATTGTCGTATCCAGCTGCCTCCTGGGCGTGTTGCCTTATAATATAATTCCCTTAACTTCCACCGGGGACACTAGCGGAATATTCTGCTCTGCTGGAAATTCCATAATTCTCAGGTATTCTGCTTTGATTTCACGGTGGGTGTCCGTTGTGGGAAACGGGGTGAAGTTTTCGCCTCTTTTTTATCTACTATTTTTCCTTGTAGGGTGTTCCCTGGTGGACGCGGCCTTCGCATTTTGGAGCGTATCCATAGATTCTACGCATTATCGCCAGATACATAAAGTACTGAAAGCCTCCAAAAGAATCTTCTTAAAATTTGTTATAAAGACTCCTTGAGACATAAAATGTTTTTTGAAAAACTACTTAAGAATTCAGATTTAGGTCTCGTCAGCAACCTTTTTGTAAATAGTCGTGGGGATTTTCTTTACTGTCACAATGTGGTAGCCCTACCATTGGCAGGGCCTATTACTTATGAAATATCAGTGGCGGTCCAATGCGTAATAACTTTGTTGGCAGTATCGTATCTGGGCAGTGCAAAGTAATCCCCGAGAGACACTTTTTGTCCTCCACCACTTACAAATTGGTCACCGTGCATGCTGAATATTAAAATTAAAAAAGACGAGTGTTAATTTCAACTTCAGTCGAATTATTAATGCTTTTCTTTTATATAAAAAATGTATTTAGTGATAGAGACATGACGCTGACATAATCCAAGAATTGTCCACACGATTGACTGCATCCCCATTATCCACTTTTTATTCATTCAAGTGGTAAGTAGGAATTTATATTAAATATTCTGGGTCTACAACGATGATGCCAAATTATGACGCCATCCTATACCCTTGTTATATTGATCTTTATTAAAAATGTAAAAGGAGCAACCCACTTCTTCACTTGAAAATGTCAATCTCAATGGTAAAATAAAACGAAATTAATTTTTATGACATACACCGCTCCGTTGTCTTTCCTGAGTTTTCGTTATGCTAGTAACAATAAAATATCCTCGGAGATATTACAGGACGATCGTTTCTGGGAATCATCGTACAAACTGTCTTTTAAATAATGCAAGGACGTTACCTGTGCAACCGAACTGATCGAAGCAATAAAATGCAATGAACATTGCATCTCAGAAATGCCAGTTACTTTAAAAATGCACTCTCAATGTCTATCATACAGATATATACACATACTCCAATTAGAATTTAAATAATTTATAACCCATTATACATGCAGCGCAATTTCTGTAAACTGCAATTTTTACTAAAGCTCTACACGTTTTCAATTTGAAAAGGTAAGTAGGTGCACTTCACAAGAGAAAACTACATCATCCCACGCCTGTATTATAATAATTACTTGCGTTATGGTAAGTTAAATTTATTTCATCCCCTTACGTCCTTTTTTTGACAATTTGTAAGCATGTTCTACATTCTGAATTGGTAATAAAACGTCGCGGCACTCGAATAAAATTCGATTGAACTGCATAAGCCTCCAGCTATGTTAGATAAATCTATATTTATATTAACATAAAAGCACGGGAATATCGCCCCATCTTCCTGCGACATGGAGCAGATTGCTTCTCCACGGTATATACCATTTTGATTTGAAATGAACCAATCCTGATTTGCTTTGATAACGCGGATTTTTCTTTAAAATAAATGCGTACGCCGTCCCAGCACATATTTACATTTAAATAAGTGGATTCTCTCGACATTCCTGATAACTAATCATAGATAGGGAAATCCTATCCAAATTTCATCCTATTAATTTTTCAGGCGAATCGAGTACGTGGAAATTTCGGCCAGCTTTTAAATAAACTTGTTGTTTCCTGCACTGTAAAATGTAAACCAAATGACTACACATTTTTAAAGGGTAACGTATACTTAATACAGACTTTTTCAACTGGGGTTGGGATGCTGTACACAAGCAATCACATTGAAAAACTGGCTTGAAACGTGCCCATTTATTTTTACGCAAACGTATTACAACTGATCCAGCGGAGAGGAAATAATGGCTTTAATTCCATTCGGCCATTAAAACATTTAAAAATTGTTGGAGTAATGTCAGGTATATTCTGTTCGTATGGTTTTTTAATAGGAAAATTTCATTTGTCCTGATAGTATTAAATACGGTAATATAAAGGTAGTATCTTGTAAATATGATTGCGGAAAGGGCTTTATTGCAAAACGTGTATGAACGTTTTTCAATAATCCTTTCCGCAAGAATGATTACATACCGGGTTTTCGAAGATTTAGAGATGATCCCAAAAACAAGAACTTAAAGCTGGGTTTCATGAAGAAGGTGAGAACGACAAAAAAATTTTTGTGCACTCCAACGGAGGTCGATTTTGCCTGAACGAAAAATGTACGACAAAGAATGAAAAAAAGTTCCTTAGTTGGTGTTGAACCCGCTCACTTTAAAGAATCATCCTAAAAGCTGAAACTATCGACACTATGGACATTTTCATGTATGCCAAGTTACAGTCTCTCCTGAAACGTAAATGTGTAGGTCACAAGCCGAAGAAATCACAGATTCTGTAAAATGAGGAATCTGCAAACATTACTTTTGGAGGAGGTTGCGAAAGGATTGCAGAAGCCATTTGATTAGTGTCATATTGGAAGTAGTATTAGAACTTAATGTCCATATTTCTTTAAAATTTGTACTCCGCCTGTGAGTTTGTTTTCCCAGCAAAGGCGGGAAGCTTATTTAATTGCATTCATTTTAGTCAATGCAGGAGTGAGATAATTAATCTGTTCTAAGTGAAATATGGAAAATCGTTTCGCCCTGATAATTCAGTAAGGGGTAAAACACGAACAAAAATGTGTACCTACACCAGAATTCTCCAAGTGCAAAAAATTCCAGAATTTAAAAACTTCCAAAAGTGCAAAAATGATGCCATTGAATTCAAAAAAATCCATTGACTTCCAAAGAATTCCAATTAATTGAAAAACTTCATCTTTAAGAGCGATTCTCCACCTCGTGGAAGTTGCGCCCTACGTCCTTCTCAGATGCTATTTTGTCTTAAGTAACACGAACTTACGTAAAGAATGCTTCAACAATTTCATCAAAATTGTTTTTTTAAGAAATTAAAAGTGAAAATTGAGAACTTGCCCCATTTTCTTCTTTCAGAGCGGATGCCTTCGGCAATATTGTATGAATTCCAGGTAATAATAGAAGAATCAATAAAAAGAAAGTCACAATATGAAACATAGCTTGTCAAAAGACAGAATTCCATGAATTCCAAAACAATTTCATGAATTCTGTAAGAATTCCAGGAATTCCCAAACAATCCAGAAATTCCAAAAGAATTCCAGGAATTACTCGAAGAAAATGACAAACGTCAAGTGTTCAAAACAGCATCGCATCTTTAGATCAATTTCATTTTTGGATTTTAAGCACATGATTTAGTAAAGAACCAAGTTTTTGTCAACTGTATTATCGAACCGGATAACCGGAGAGAGTTCGGACATTTTTTTTTATTGGTGTCATGTTGGATTTTTGGCAATTACTCGCTCCTTAAAGACCCAAATCGTACAACAGGTCAGAACCGATTCCATTTTTGGGTCCTATGCACCCAAGTTATTAAAAAAATAAGATTTTGCAAATTACGAAAAATAGTAAATCGGGTGCGTAGAATCCAAAAACGTGCACAGATTTCGGGCCCACCATGGAATTTAAAAAAACGAACATTAATAACTTTCTCATTTTTTGATATATATCAATTTTGAAGGGATAAGAGAGTGTAATAAAAAATATCAGCTACTACCTAAGGTGGAATTATAAAGCTTATTGCAACGACCAGATGTGTCTTACTTTATCTAAATTTTAAATAAATTACAAAAGTGATCAACTTCAAAACGAAAAATTACACATCTAACAAAATTTCTAACCGCAAAAACAACACCGCGATACAAATTCAAATAGAACAAGCCAAATTTGTGTTTCTTTCGTAAACAATTCCCCAGATTCACTAAATAAATTTAAATATTCTCATATACAGCATGTTCCGTCATTATTTTTGGTGTTTAAACCGAAATAACGACCACCAATCGGTGGCAAGTTTGGAGCTAAAACTCTGAAAAAAAGTTTGCCGTCGCTAGCACAGATATCACCCGCATACCTGCGCATGCGCGATTCTGCCTTTTTATGTCTAAGACTATGTGTACCAAATTTGGTTTCAATCGGTTTAGTCGTTTGGCCGGAAATCAGAGTATAGACAGACAGAAGACCGATCGACATTATCGAGATTTTGTTTGATTCCCGTTCCTGGTGCTTGAAAACGTGTATTTCCGTAAAAAAAGTGGGGGGTC